GATTCACGCCAAGAAATGTATGAGACCAGATCAAATGAGATCAAACATGAAATTCATAATCCTGGCGGCCAGTCTAACTCTTATTATATTTTTCAAATGAGATTATGATTTTCACTTCTCAATTTAAATTATTTTTATTGCTTTAAATGACTTTAAATCTCATTTGAGTGTTATTAAAAAGTGTTACTTTTCAAAAAATTAAAAATAGTCTAAAAGAAACCTTAAAATATCTAAAAATAGTAACTTTATGCTAAGAATGAAACTAAATGAGATCAAATGAAACCACTTTCTCATTTTTTTCAAGTCATGATTTCATTTTAAGATCTGATATATAGTTACTTTGCATGTTTTTTTAATGACTAGTCCCAGCGGGATTCATGTCAAGAAATGTATGAAACCAGATCAAATGAGATCAAATGTGAAATTCATGATCCCGGTGGCCAGTCTAGTTAACTCTATTATATGAAAGATGGAAACAGTATGATATCTGATAATAACTGGCTTCTTACTGACAGAGTAAGCAGATTTAAGTCAGAAATGTAGATGAAAATTGCGGAGAAGATATTCATTCTCTGAAGAGCTGTTGAAGCTATGCACTGGCAACTGAGAGAACAAGAAATGATGAGATAATCTAGAACAGTTCTGTTCTCATTCTCTCAATGCATATCAAAACGCTCATGTTCTGTTCAGCTCCCTTTCTTTGCGGAACTCGACGCCGTATCTCAAGAAACCGCAGCCACGCAGCTACTAATAATGAGTCATCCTTCGGCGTGGGATTGAATGTGGATGGCGTGATTATCACCGCCGTGACTTCATATCAATAATAGCTGTACAATTGAGGTTCAATACTGCAGTGTTCAATGTATATCTCTGGTCAGATGTCTAAGGCAAATCAGAGGTTTCAGAATATGTTGGTATTTATTCTTTAGTCTCACTGTGTGAGGCTGGTTTCTACAGATCTTCTCTGCTTCCATGTTTATAATGATTGTATATGAAGATGTCTGATGCAGAATCAGCCTTTGTTTGATTTTCTGTTGTAGTTCAATAATTGATAAAAGTTAGTTAAATTTTATAAACATTGCTAGTCATACATCAATGAGAAATGTGAAGAGCAGGGGCTGTTTCTCTGAGCCTGCTCAATTCACCCTTATTCATCTGATTTCTGAAACTGTTTCTAGCAGCCTATGAGTCTGTAAAATGATGTGATCTTTCACGGTCACTTCTTGTCTGTCTGAAAAAGGGATCATTAGCGTAGACAGGGAACTGAAGATATATAGAGTCAGCCTCACTTTGCTGAGGTTGATGTAGTCATGTGAGAAGCTATGATACATGTGTTATGAGAATTGAGTATAAGTATGTCATACTTCATCTTTCATTAAATACAGATGATTTTTATCAGCAGAATGAGTAAGTAACATCACTCTCTTTATGACTTGATATCAGACAGTTATTACAGAGTTGGAATTCTTTGTCATCTTATAAGTTAACTCATCAGAAATTCTCTTGCATAGAGAGAGCTATGAGCTGTGTAAAATCATTGAGTTAATATACACACAATTGATTATTGCAGAGAATATCATCAGTGCTCTAGAAGCAGATCATTATTTAAATAAGATATTCAGTGATTATATTTACAGCTTAAGAGATATAAAACAGCATCTATAATCATATCAGTAACATGACTGATATAAGTCTCAGCTATATCTGCACAAGTGCTCTGCTGCATAATCTCAGCACCAGTTTGAGACTGTTAATAACCTGTCACAGCATATCTGAAATACAGCTGATCTTAGTCATCAGTTTGACAAAGAGATACTGAATAGAAAATACTGTTTTCAGTATGAAAAAGAGTTCACTTCAGTTCAATCTCTTTAATTACATAAGAAAAATAATTATTTAGAATCAAGCTGCTTCAGAATTGATGCTTTTAGACAATTATACAGAGCTTATAAGTTTCATTACTTATTTAAATAGTATTTATACTAATAGAGACAGTGTCTTATACTGAACTATCAGTCATAGCACAACATTCAACTTACTGCCTGTTAAGAAAGAGAAAACTTGATAACTATGAAAGAGATACTACATTGAGAAATCTTTGAAATTAACATCAGAAATGATCAGATTTATTGAGAGTACTCTTAAGTGAAAATACTATTCATTCTGCTAGAAAGTAAAATCAGTAGTATGTATCTGAAGAACAGTGTTTTAATCTGTAATCAGTTGTTGAAAAGACTGCAGTGAATAAAGTTAATAAGCTTCTCTTTCATACTATAATACAGTTATCATTAATCAGCTTCAAAATATCTGTCTTTAATTACAGTGTTAATTTCATTGCTGATCTCAGTTCAATTCACTTCTTATATATCAGTCTCAGTGAATTCATCTTTGACTACAGTGTTAATTTCATGACTGATTTCAGTTCAATTCACTTCTTATATATCAGTCTCAGTAGACTTATCTTTAACTACAGTGTTAATTTTATGACTGATTTCAGTTTAATTCACTCTTCATCTATAAGGCTCAGTGAATTCATCTTTAACTACAGTATTAATTTCTTAATCAATTTCTGCTCAGCTCTTAGCTGATTTATCTTCAACTACTGTATCAGTTTACTGCTTAATCTGCAAGCAGCTCAGTAATATACTATCTTTAATTACAGTGTTGATTCTTCAGCTGATTTATACTTATTATAACGTGGCGGAACTGAAGAGATGAGTAGTTAGCAGTGTTATATAGAGATAGTTGTTTGAGAAGCTGTATAAGTAGACTTAACTATCTTGCTTAAATAGTGAGCTCATAGACTACAGAGTTATTATGAGAATATCACAGATATGATACTTAGTATATTAAGAAGATTGTATAAGAAACACAGTAACTCTTGTATATATTTCAGTAGAAGAAAAATGAATCACTGATCTTTTTAATAAGAAGTCAGTATCTAGCTATTCTATATAGATAATGAGTGAATACTCTTCTCTCATTTCATAAGTGAGAATAGCTAGAGTAATATCTCAGCAGTGTCTCATAAGTTACTACTTTGAAAGAGTAATCTACTGACCTTGTATAGAAGTGAGGTTCTTATATTCATTAATTAAATCTTTCTCTAATATATCTAAATAATGTTATAGAGTGATTGAAAACTGATTTGAATAATCTGCAGAATAAATGAAATCATCTGTAAGAAAGTGATAAGTTGTATGAAACTGTAATGAGATTTTAACACAGCTGAGAATGTGATAATACTCTTCTCTTTAAGAGTATAGTTCTGATGCTCTTAAGATTACTGAATTAGAAGTTATCTTTATTATATAGTAATAGTTATCAACTGATTGACAGTGTATGTGCTACAGTACAAAGAAATAGATGAGTTTCTCTGCTAACTATGTAGATCTTTCTTTCTCATCTCTGTTCAAATCAAATATGTGATAAGTATTTCTTATATATCAATTTGAAATGTGAAAAACATAGTTAATAAGTAACTTACAGATCTCTCATTATATTTCATTCTGTATATGAAATTCTCTGTAAAAGTGATGTGTTTTAGAGATAAAGCTAACAGTAGTAATAGAATTTTTCTGAAAAGATCTTCTCTTCTGTGACACATTTTTTCTCTTTTCTCTCATCTTCAATAGTGAGTGCATGAGAGCATTATTCTTGAAAGATAATAAAGAGCTTATTCTGATGTTTTCTAGTGATTAAATGTCTTTATGATGCAGCTGTGATCTCTGTGACTATCAAGAAAGTCAGATTGAAGACAGAGACAGCAGTGTCAATGAGCTGCAGAAGCACTGCTCTCATTATCACATCTTCTTCTTCTTCTTCTTCTGCTTCTCTTATAACTGCAGTGATAGTTGCTATATCTTATAGTAAAGTGTCATCTCTTCTGCTGATCAGTTCATCTGTGTCTGATTCTTTCTCTGCCTCTCTTATCACTGATGCAATGCCATCTTCCTTCTCAGTCAACACAGTGATGTATAACTCTATATGTGTAACGTGGCGGAACCGAAGCGGTGGCTAGTCGGCGGCATCATATAGAGGTAGTTGTTTGAGAAGCTGTATAAGTGAGCTTAACTATCTTGCTTGAATAGCAAGCTCATAGGCTACAGAGTTATTGTGAGAATATCACAGATATGATACTTAGTATACTAAGAAGATTGTATGAGGTACACAGTAACTCTTGTATATATTTCAGTAGAAGAAAAGAAATAAATTACTGACTTCTTTAATGAGAAGTCAGTATCTAGCTATTCTATATAGACAATGAGTGAATATTCTTCTCTTATTTCATAAGTAAGAATAGCTGGAGTGATACCTCAGCAGTGTCTTATTATCAAGAAAGAGTAATCTGCTGATCTTATATAGAAGTGAGATTCTCTTATTTATTAATCAGATCTTTCTATGATATATCTGAATAATGTTATAGAGTGATTGAAAACTGGTTCAGATAAGATGAAATTATTCACATAAAAGTAATAAGCTATGTGAAATCACAGTAGAGTCTTAGCACAGCTGAGAGTGTGATAATACTCTCTTCTTTAAGAGTATAGTCTCTATATTCTCAAGATTACTGAATTAGAAGTTATCTTTATTATATAGCAATGATTACTAACTGATTAACAGTGCATGTACTGTGTGTAATATAAAGAAATAGATGAGTTTTTCTGCTAACTGTGTAGATCTTTCTTTTTTCATCTTCATTCAAATTAAATATGTAGTAAGTGAGTTTCTTATATATTAATTTAAAATGTGAAAAATGTAGTTAATAAGTAATTTATAGATCTTTCATTATATTTCATTCTATATATGAAATTCTCTGCAAAAGTGATATATTTTAGAGACAAAGCTAACAGTAGTGACAGAATTTTTTGAAAAGATCTTTCTCTTCTATGACATATTTTTCTCTTCTCTTCCTCATCTGTAATAGTGAGTGCATGAGAGCATCATTCTTAGAAGATAATAAGAGGCTTATTCTGATATTTTCTAGTAAATAAACATCTTTATAATGCAGCTGTGATCTCTGTGACTGTTAAGAAAGCCAGATTGAAGGCAGCAGTGTCAATGAGCTGTGAAAGCACTGCTTTCATTGCTACATCTTCTTCTGCTTCTCTTGCAGCTGCAGTGATAGTTGCTGTGTCTTGCAGTGAGATGTTGTCTCTTCTGCCAGTTAGTGCATCTGCATTCAGTTCATTCTCTGCCTCTCTCATCACTGTTGTGACACCGCCCCCTCTTTCAGTCAATACAGTGATGTATAACCCTGTGTGATCATTCAGAGAGAAACTCAGAGAGAGCTTGATTCTGAGAACAGTGACTCTGAGAAGCTCAATCTGTAGTTTCTCTCTCACAGCATGTCTGAGCTCTGCTCAGAATGCTGCTGAGTTGAGTCTGCAGAGTCTCACAGTTTCTTTATCTTCTCTCTGTAAGAAGGCTCTGATGTGATCTCTGACTAGCACTGCTACTTGTCTGCACTATGTTAAGCAGCTGAAGAAGAGAGAGATTTTATACATCTGTCTCTTCTCTCACTTCTATTATTTCTGTTACATCTATAACAATGACTTCTGTCTCTCTGTAAGTATTATCTCACAGAAAGACATTGTATCAGCTCTGATAAGAAATCTAGATGCTTAAGCAGTACAGAGTGAGAGTCTCAGAGCTTCAAGTATTAACAGATTTCATTAAGACTGAGAAGGTTTCTCTTGCTCATCTGTAAAAGAAGGTGAAAGTGTGAATCTCTGAGATAAAAAAACACCTCAGAATGACTGATCTTAAGAAGAAATCAGTCAGTACTGCTATTAGAAGCACTGTGAAGATCAATTACTGATTAAAGAGAATCTCACTTTAATTGAAACAGATGACTGAGATGTTTTATAAGTTGATAAGTTAATATTTTTATATATTTCTTATGCTCTTCTGCAGCACTGCAGTACTAACTTCTCAGCAGATAAAGATGCTAATACTGAAGACTTCAACAGTGAAGAATAAGTTTAATGAGAGTGTAATTATTAATGAGTAGACTCTGATCTCTCTTTTTACTTTTTCAGTGAGCTGTAGCTCTATTAGAATAGCAGCAGTCTGTGAGTTAATAATATTAATCTTTTTATTAATTTTTAATATTTCTTTTCTCTAACTGCTTCAGGAATTTTATACTTATATAGTCTTATTAAACTTCTAAAAAACTCTTTAAGAGAAAATAGAAGAAGAGTGCTACAGAGTCTATAAGACACTGACTTATCACTATAAGATTATCTCTAAAAAATTCTTTAAGAAAAATAAGAAGTTTTAAGCAGTATTTCTTACTTAATATCTCTGATATGTAATAGAGCAGTCTCTACTAATTATCTCATAGCTTGTAATCTCTTTCTCAGCATTTTTCAAATACTTAAGCAGTTCTCATGAATTCTCTGACAATGAATAATTTTCTCATTTAATAAGATATTAAAGCTTACTGTAATATATTCACTTATTCAATATTTTCTTCACAAGATATTCAATATCACTCTCAATCTTGATATTATTCAGCTGAGACAGCTCTGCTCTGAGACATTGCTTATAGAGCTTCAAATAGAAAATGTGAAAAACAGAATGAATTGATTTCAATTCTGTGAGTAATTTCAACTTATATATCTGCTTATTTATCACTCTTATTACTGAGAAAGATTCTAGTTATCACTTACTGAGCTTCTTACACAGTCTTATTATCTTGATATTCTTTGCTGAAAATAGTACTTGATTCTCTATCAAGAACTTCATTGAAAGATGTTTTCAATTATAGTATTTTATCTACTACTTCTGAGTGTGATGAATACTTTTTATCATCTTCTTATAAATTTTATTCAAAAGTTTCAATCTTACTTTTACTTCTGATACTGAGAGATACTCTGTTCTCTGTATCTGTCTAACATTCTGACTATCTATTTCTCTCTTTGAAATGTCATCTGTGATATCACTGAATAATGAAGAATTATATTCATAATAAGTATAGAAAAAAGATATCTTTAAGGTTACATTCTTTACATTATTATATATAAATTCAGTGATCAGAAGGTGTTTGAGCTAATCATTCTGATAATATAAATAGAACACTTGAAGATGCTGTTCTAGTATCTGATTCTGATGTTCAGTCTGATTATCTATCTGCAGATAAAATGCAGTACTGAGAAGATATTTTATTATAAGATAATAGTAAAAAGCTGATCAGTATTTACTGATGAAGAGAGATTTTCAATCTGTTATTAATAATTTCAGAGCATCATAATTATAAATGATAATATCTAAAAACAGATCAGCTAATTCAGAGACTTTAATCTTTTTATAAGTAGAAATATATCTGATTATCTTTGTGAAGTGATCAATAATAATTAAAATTGAGTCATATTCTTTGACTCTTGTTGACTTTGATAGATTAACTATGAAATTTATTAATAGATTCTGCTATGAGCTCTTTGAAACAGGCAGTGATATCAACTCACTGTATTACTTATACTATGAAATCTTTATTCTTTGACAGATATTGTAAGTCTTAATATACTCTTTGATATCTGTCTGAAGCTTATCTTAAATATATTTACATTTTAGAAGCTTCTTAGTCTTCTCTAATCTGAAGTGTTCTGTATGAGAATTATTATAATGAATTCTCAATAACTTCTGACACACTGCTCTGCTATAAGAGATGAAGACTGAATCATTCAGTAGTAGAAGTTCATATTCTTCTAGTTATCAGTGACTTGATTTCTTAGCAGTATCACCCTGCTCAGAGTCTGTCTCTTTCAAGTTCAAACTGAATTCTTTCTTCTTCAACTTCTGAATTCAAGCTGCAGTAGAGATATCTCTCTTCTATAATTTATTAATAAATTTCAAAAGTAGTCAGATTGAAAGATTGTAGACTATTTTATTCTTTATCAATTCAATAATTATAAGATATGATATGAGAAGCTTATGATCTTCAGTGTCAGTTCTCTGTGAGAATCTGAGTTTTCTTTCATTTTCTATACTGAGTTGTGCAGCTATCTTATCAGCACTGTTTCTGAGCTTCAGAGAATCTCAACTCTCTACAGTCAGCTTCTTCTGCAGTGATGACAGAGATTCTTTTATAGAATTCTTCTTCATATCAATGATATTATAATCAGGCTGTTTAAATAACATGTCAGCAGAATTAAGCTAATCTGAACAGTATCAGATATAGAAATCATACTCTGAAAGCAGCTCTGCTCATCTGGCTTGATATTCTGTCAAGCTCTTTGTTGTCAAGAAGTAACATAGATTTACATAATCAGTGAGAACTTGCACTGAGTACTTACTACTCTGAAGATAATATTATCAGATCTTAAAGAATTTAACAATTACTAACATCTTCTGATTATGAGTATTATATCTTCTCTATATAAGTGATAACTTCTTGAAGAAGAAGATCACTGATCTTTATTTACAGTGTCTTATAGACTCTGTGAAAAAGTCTTCTCTTATAGATAATTCATTATCTATTTTCTCAGAGATGATTATTTTCTGATTCTTTCAATATTGAAAGATCTTCAGTGTTAACTGTGAAAAGATTTCACAGATCTCATTTCTGAATATATCAGTCTCACACTGACTGAGTAAGTCAGAGTTAAAGTGATTTAGTATTATAGCATCTGTGAAAGCTTGTTTCAATTCTGCAAATGTCTGTATAATATCTTGAGTGAGAATAAACAGTTCTGTTTTTCTGTCTTTCACACTTCTCTTTAACAGATCTGTAAGAGAAACAGTAATCTGTGAATATGTATAGATGAATTATCTATAGAAATTTATAAATTCTAAAAACACCTGCATTTTATGATACATCTGCAGTATTGACCAGTTCTCAATGATAAAGATTCAGCTTCTATTCATTGAAATGTCATTCATCTCAATAATATAATCTAAGAAATCAATCTCCTGCATGTAGAATGAGCATTTTTCAGTGTTTATATAGAGTTAATACTGTCTCAAGTGACTTAATACTTCTTGAATATGAGTATCATGTTCTTTCTCTGTTTTTGAGAAGATTAGAATGTTATTCAAGTATACTATGCAGAAGACATTGACAAGGCCCTGCAGTGCCTCATTTATATAGGTCTGAAAGATGACTGAAGTGTTATAAAAATTAAAAGATAAAACAAGATATTTAAAATTACTGTACTTGATATGAAAAGCTGTTTTTTAAATATTATTTTTGTTAACTCTGATTTTATAATAGATATTCTGTATATTAATCTTTGAGAATATCTTTACTTCAGATAATTGATTGATCATCTTGTCAATTAACAGTAATAAATAGCAATTCTTAATCATCATCTTATTAAGGCCTCTATAGTCTATGTATAGATGTAGTCTATTATTCTTCTTAAGTATAAAGAGTATAGACATCTCTGCTGAACTCTTTGATAAATATATTCAGTTCTTTGATTATGCTTCTTTAAGATATTTACACAGAACATTCAATTTCTTTATAAACAAGTTGTAAAGAAGCTTATATAACACTGTTACACTGTCTTTAAGATGAATTTTATATTGTATCTTGATATTAGAAAACTTCACTACTTCTCTTTCTGAAAAGATATTCTTAAAATCTGTAAAGAGATGTTATATATATTCATCTTTAATAATGAATACTGCTGCTAATCTTGCAGTGAGCGTGATGACTTTTTCATCTATCTTCAAGTCTCAGTCATCTACTACACAGTATATTAACTCAATCTTTTTCTTAAGATTCTTCTGATGAAACTCTTCAGATTTCTCTATCACTGTCTCTTTATTAGTAAGATAGTATTATCACATCTGAGTGACTCAGTCAATGAGAGAATTGTTTTCTCTCAATCATAGAAGATCTAGAATGATGTTCTCATCTATAATATTAACTATGTAAAGAAGCAGACTGCTCTTCTTGAAGATTTCTTCTGAGTCTGTGATCACACACTGTGCTTGAATTATATCAAAACAGTGATATTTCATTTTATCAGTAAATTTTATATGATCTGACAGATCTATCTTCTTTCAATTCTTTATTAAAGAAAAGAAATAGAATATGAAGTTGATATTCACTCTGAAGTTAAGTAGACATCTCACTAGTATCTTCTTATTTGAAGTATACATTGTGATCATAACATGAACTCAGAGATATGAGAATTATCAATTCTTCATTTCTTTCTCTTCTTTATCTTTTATAAATATATTTATCAGATGAAAAGTT